AAGGTTGTGGAGGGAACTCGACATGCGCGCGCGGCTTGCGAGGCTCGGCGCCAGGCATGCGGAGCTGGCCGCAAGAGTGCCAGGGCAAGATGCGCGCGACGGAGACTTCCGCGAGGAGCACTTTCGGGGGCATGTTCGACAGGGGTCCGTCTCTTCCGAGAGTGCGGCGGCCGCTGCCGACCAGTGGCGGCCCGCTGCCGCCGCGGCCCACGATGCCCTTGGCCAGGGCCCCGCCGGGGAGCCGCAGAGAAAAGCATTGGCAGAGACGGCGATGATGGCGCCATGGGCGACGACGGCTACGACGCGCCCGCGGACGCGGACGCGGAGGGCGATGCTTGGATAGACAAGCGACGTTCAGCAGCTGTCGGCCTCTGCTCTACGGCTGAGACGGCCATCGGGGTCCACGGGAGCCCACAACAGCTGCTACCACCATTGGTGCGGCCAGAGCAACGACGTGCAAGAGCCACCGCAGTCGCGGACCATCCTCGGGCGAGAATGCCAGATCATCGATCGAGGATGCCATGGAGCAGAGCGACGAGGCCGAGGAGGAGGAAGGCCCCGACTGGTCTCGATTAGTGTTCACTGTGAATGGCGAGGCTGAGCGGTCGATGGCCACGCACGCCGAACAGCCATTACAGTGCGCCCTCCTGCGGGCGGGCGCTCTGGAACCACGAGAAAGAGTTCCCAATGGATCTCATCAGTCGCTATCACTGTAAGGTGCGTCGTTTTTCCTTCCTCTTTCTCCTCCTCCTCCTTCTCCTCTTCCTCCTCTTCCTCCTCCTCCTCCTCCTCCTCCTACTCCTCCCCCGGCCTGTTTTGGATCTCATCAATCGTTATCACTGTAAGGTGGCTGAGGGGCTGGCGCCAGCGGGCGACGACTTTGTTTGCTGAGGCCGAATGGTGGTGCGAGTGCCAGCCATCGGATTGGGACTGGTCGGCCGAGCTCGCTCTTTTTGTACGTGCACATGATTTCAGCGTCGTTTTCCCTTCCTCTTTCTCCTCCTCCTCCTTCTCCTCTTCCTCCTCTTCCTCCTCCTCCTCCTCCTCCTCCTCCTCCTCCTCCCCCGGCCTATTTTGGATCACCTCAAGCATGCAAGTGTCGCATTCTGCCAATAACGGCGCGCCGAAAGCCGGCGTTACGACGAATTCCAGGAATTCATTGTAGGTGTCGCCAGGATTTCCCGTACGACGACTTTGGCGTTTCCCTTGCCGGCGCGGCCCTCGTGTTCCTTGCCTCCTCTTCTTCCTCCTCCCCCTGCCTGGTTTTGATCATCTCGGGCACGCAGCATTTCCCAGTTTCGCCGAGAACCCGAGGCATTCCCTGTAGGTGTCGCCGGAATTGCCGTTGCGACGATTCTGCTTTTCTTTTGTTTGTGTCCCCCCGTGTCGGCGCGGCCGCCCCGCAGGGCGACGCGCCCCCGTGCCGGTCGTCCGCGCCCCGCCCTTGCCCCTTTCTGGCCCTCCGCCCCCTCTCCCCCCCCCTCTCCTCTCCCCTCCCCCGCTCCTCTCCCCTCCGCCCCCTCCCCGTCTCCCCTCCCCGTGTCTCTCCTCCCCCTCCCCCTCTCCCCTCCCCCCTCCCCGTCGTGCCCTCCCCCTCCTCCCCCCCTCTCCACAATTACTCAATCTGAATACTACTCTCCCTCTACCCCTGATGACGTGCTGGGAGTGTTCGACACCCCCCGCGTACTGTTTGTTACACACAGGATTCCCGGGAGTTGGGTTTTCGCTTGCATTTTTTTCAACATGCTGCTCTCGCTGAGGCGCCGGCCTCATTTTCGGGCCCCGCTCGTTCCGAATCGTGCTCCCGCTGCAGCGCTGGCCTCATTTCCGTGCTTCCGCTCGTTCCGAATCGTGCTCCCGCTGCAGCGCTGGCCTCATTTCCGCGCTTCCGCTCGTTTCGACTCGTGCTCCCGCTGCAGCGCTGGCGTCGTTTCCCGTGCCTTGCCACGGCATGCAATGCAATGCGAGGTTGATACTACGCTTTGCGGTGCTCTTCTACGCCATGCCACGCCGTGCTCTACAATGCATCGCGTACCCTTTCGCGATCATTGCCCTGCTCGACATCCGACTGTGCGAGAAGAGAGGGGATCTACGCCATGGTAAAGGATGGGAGGGAGGGGTAGGATGTCAAATATGACGCGAGCGCACCCAGCTTGTCCTCCCCCCCTCCCCCCCTCCTCCTCCCTGCTCCCCCCCCTCCTCCCCCCTGCGCCTGGCCCCTCCCTCCCTCCACGCGCCGCCACGAAACCCATGCCGCAGCCGCGGCTGGCAGCTTCCCTCTCTCCTCCTCCCTCCTCCGCTCCCTGGGGGGGAGCAGGCTCTCGTGGCCCCTGGGGGTCTGTGGCCCCGCCCGGGGCGCGCGGGGCGCCCCGGGGCGCCCCGGGTGCGCCGGGCGGGGCCGGGAGGCACCCCGCGGGCGGGGCGGGCCCTCCCGGCCGAAGCCCTCCCGCCGAGTCCGAGCTGCTGTCCTCGGGGGCGGAGAAGAGGGGGGTGATGACTAGGGGGGGGTGGATCTCATGGCGTGGGCCATGATATCTCCTCAGATTTCATGGCGCCTCTTCTTATTTCGTTACGTCCCTGGCCCCCCCGCTGGGCCGCGCACGTGCCGCCGGTCATGATTTGCACCCCCCCCCTCTTGGACACCCCCCTCTTGGTCGCTCCCGATGTCCGCGGCAGTGCGCTCGAGTGGTTCTTTAGGGGAAGGAAACATGGCATGAGCATAAAAACTCGGAGGTCCGCGCGGATTTCTCGGATCGGCGCTGGAGCCCCCTGCCTGGCGCGCGGAGCGCGCCAGGGGCGGCGCCGGAGGCGCTGCCAGGGGGCCCCAGCGCCGATCCGAGAAATCCGCGCGGACCTCCGAGTTTTTATGTTTATGTCATTGATCGTTTCCGGGGCGCGGGTGTGCCGGAGCAGCTCTGGCCGAGGTGCTGGTGGGAGCTCTGTTCGGGTGCCTCGTTCCGGCTCACTTCGACGCCGGTCTCAGGAAGTGTCTCCTGCTGCCTCTGAGATCCTGTCGGCTGCCCCCGGTCCGCCTGCTGAGTGCCCGAATTGGACGGAGCATTGCTATTGCCCATCCGCCGCCGTTGCGGAGTCGCCGCCCGCATTCCGCGGTCGCCCTTCTTGGCCGAGGCATAGGGGCCTGGCCGCCTGTGGACACCCCTGCCACGACGCAGTTTGTGGCGGAGGTTAGCTACATGCGAACAACATTGTCGAGCTCACTGAGATTCTCGGCGCTCGACTTCAATCGTTGAGGTCTTTGCGATTTTGCTTTGCAAGTGGTTCTTATCCTCTCCCTCTTTGTCCCTCCTCCTCCTCTTCCCTCCCCCGCCCGAGTCCAGGGCTACGGCAGAGGGCGGCCATTTATATAAGCCATCTTTCGCTGAACAGCCCGTTTTTGTGGCCAGACGCCCCTGCTCCATTCGAGGGCGGATGCGTTGCAGGTTTTGTGCTGCTTCGTTCTCCCCCGTCACCCTCCTCTCCTCCTCCCTCGTCGTCCTCCTTCTGGCTGCCCTCCTGCAGCTGGCTCCTAGAGCAACCTTCGCCAGCGTTGCTGTCTTCATTGCCTGTCGTTGCGGTTGTGACGAAGAGGCCCCTGGAGGGCACGGCGAAGTGACCGCTTGTACACGCCATCGTTTGCATAACAGCCTTTCAGCGTGGCTGGACGCTTTAGTACGATTCGTGTGCACGGCAGTCGACACAGCTTAGTCGCTTTACGATCGCGCCAACGAGTTTGTCACCGAGTTGCTGTGTCTGCTCCACCTCCTCCCCTCCCCCAAAAAACCTGGGCAGGACGGATCTCTGGAGGTGTCCTGTGCCGTCGAAGTCGTAGTTTTCCAGATTTTTTTTCTTTGTTTCTTTCTTTTTTGGGGTAGCAACATCTTTGTTGTTGTTTTATATTTTTCGTTTTTTGGAGGTGCTCGTCGCCACGCGCCAGGATGGATTTCGGTCGCCTCCCCGTTCTTCCTCGATTTCCGCATCCTTCTCCTCTTCCTCCTCCGTGGGGTCCATGTCGTCCTCCACATTATTCTTCTTCTTCTCCTCTTCCACCTCCGAATCCTCTTCGTAAGCCTGTGGCGTTTTCTCCTCTTCCTCTTCCTCGTCCTCCTCCTCCTCCTCCTCTTGCCCCTCCTCATCGTCCTCCTCCATCACCCTCTCCCAGAGAAGGGAATCATGAGGATTCCGCTGATGGAGCTGGATATGAAGATGAGAGTGATGAGGGCAATGACGATTATGATGTTGGTGTTGGTGATGGCGATGGTGATGACGATGATAATGGCTACAATGGTGCTGCTGCTGATGATGAGGATGACGATATCTGAGGAGGAATAGCATGAGGTGAAGGAGAAGGAATCAGGGACGGAGGATGGGGATGCAGACTCCATGCGCCCCGTCACGAGACCCGCGGTGGATCTTTTTCCTTAGTTTTTCCTCGCGGACTTTGGAAAGCTTAACCTGTTAGCTGGGATTTGTGGCTATCTATTGCCACTGCACAGCCACCCACTTGCGAATTGCGTCGGAAGCCCTGCAACAGTGATTGTTGGTGGGATTCCAAAGCAATTCCCTGCTTCTGGAGCCCAGGTCCCCCTAAGGCGATCCCACAACTGGCCAAGGAGGATGCAAGTGACGGTATGAGACTTGATTGGTTTCGGTGTGCGCTTCAGGAGGCCTTCCCATCTGTCGCACGTTTTCTGAAGCAACGAGGCGTCAAGCTGCAGATGTGTGTGCGCGAGGCAAAATAGATCGGGCCTCAAATCAGAGATCGGCTGGCTTCTCTCCCTCTTCTTCCTCCTCCCCCCTTCCTGCTTCGCTTCCCTCTTTTTCCCGTCATGGCAATGCTCCTAATTTTAGTGTCAGTGCGAGTGGTGTGTCACGGCGCCAGCTGCCGTTTGAGTGGTTGGTCTTGGGATGGAGTTTCATTTCTTGTAAAGAAAAAAGAAGAAAACATACTGGTGTGCGTGAGGCTGTGTCGGTCTCGACCCCCCGTCCGCGCAGCGCCTGAGGCGGCGCCACCATCAACCGGAGCGTCACCTCCAACAGGAACGTGTTCATCCAGCTCATCGGTGCCCGCTGCAGCAGCTCAGGGAAGCCCCGCTTCCAGTCAGGGCTTTGAGCATACAGTGCAGGGTGGCAGGTGGCCGGTCACACCCAAGTCCTTAGTTCGATGAAGACCCTCCTCCTGCTCTCTGGACCCATGGGAAGACTAAGGGGCCGGGCATGGATCTCGAACCGCCCGCCTGGCTGCTCTCGGTTGACGTTAAGGTGCCCTCCGCTTTCGATCGATCGAGTTCCTGCCTGCTGCCAGAGCTTGCCTCGCCAGGAGGTGGTCGTGGAAACGGGGAGGCGACGGCGAGTGCGCCGATCTGGTGCGGGGACGCGCGGGGGTAGAGCGCGCGACGTGGAGCGGAGCACCGCGTGCTCTCGAGGCGCCGCTGCCGCGGGGCCAGCAGCGGCGCGGCCTGCCCGCAGCGTCCGGCCGGGCGGTCTTTCTGGCGCGGCTGGGGCACGCGCGGCTCGGCCGCTCTCCTGCTCTGTCCCCTGTGTGCTGCGTGCTCCTGCGTCTCTTCGCCTCCCTCACCCTCTCTTCCCCTGCCCTCTCTCTCTGTCTCGCCTTTGCCTCTCTCTCTTTCTCTCTTTCTCCTTCCCTCGTTCCCTCTCTCCCTTTCTCTCCCTCTCTCGATTTATCTCCCTCTCTCTATTCATTTCTCTCCCCCTTTTTTCCATTCAGGCTTGGGCTGAGGGTTCTGATTTGCTTTCGAAGACCCTGTGGGTGCGGGCCCAGATTGGCGCGGGCATTCCCCGGGGCTCCTGGGTTCCGTTTCCTCGCACGGGCCTTCCCAAGGGTTCTTTGGTCTTGTGTCCTGACATGGCGTTGCTTGGGTTTGTTCGTCGTTAGTTCCTTGATTCTTTGGTCTTCGTGTCATGGTTACTTAGTCTCGATTCCTTGGTTCCTTGGTCTTGGCTCCCTGGTTCCTGGGTCTTGACTCTTTGGTTCCCGGGTCTTGGCTCCTTGGTTTCTTCGTCTGTGGTTCCTGGGTCTCTGTTCCTGAGTTTCTTTGTCTTTGTTCCTTGGTTCCTTGGCCCTGGTTTCCTGGTTCTTGGGCTTGGTTCCATGGTTCCTTGGTTCCTTGGTTCTTTGGTCTTTATTCATTGGTTCTTTCGTCTTGGTTCCTATGTTCCTTCGTCTTGGTTCCTTGGTTCATTGGTCTTGCTTCCTTGATCTTTGTTCCTTTTTGCCTCACCACGCAATGCCAATCAACGCCAAGCAATGCAAAGCAATGCCACGTAGTGCGAAGCAGCGCCAAGCAATGCCACGCAGCTTCAAGAAATGTCAAGCATGCGACGCTATGCCAAGTGAATCTGTCAATCAAGATGTCAAGCAATGCCAAGCAAAGCCTAGAAATGCGCCCGCGCGCCGGGAAGCTTTTCCCTGACCTGGGTCGCGCTGGGGTCATGTGTGTGTGGGTGCGGATTATTTCTTTATCTCTCGCTCTCTCTCTCTCTCTCTCTTTTTGCCTACGACGCATATGTGTATGTATGACTGCATACGCACACATGTATATCGATATATTCGAATAGGTATATGCATTATCCTGCATACACACTTACATGTATACATACACGTATGCCCTGGCTGGCTCTCTCTTTCAGATATCTCTTCTCCGCTTCCATGTATGCCTTCTATCCGTCGCCTCGTCTTGTGCGTATGGCTTTCGTTTGGCAATGCGGGCGTTCATCTACGCATGAGGCATTGTGGAAGATACATCGGGTGCTTTGATAGGGACACGTTCTTCACGCTACACACCGTCCCTCCGTGCGACAGTGGCCTCCTCCTCCACGTCAGCCCCCTCCTGGTTTCCCTCTCTCTTCGGCTCCTGGCGCCGACGAGGTGCCGCGGGCGTCGGGAAGACCAAGCTGCTGGAGGCCCTGATCAGGGAGCTCGACCCCTCTCAACTGCCGAAGGTCAGCGAGATGGAGACGAACCTGCTGGCACACCACTGCTTCCAGGCCAGAAGGGGAGCAGGGGGCGAAGCTCGGCGGGCGAGGAAGGGAAGCTCGGCATGTCGGAGCAGCCTAGGATCCGATTCGATGCGATCCGATTCGCCAGCTGGGGCCACGGTTCCGATCCGATCCGATTTGACTCGGTGCGGTTCTTCGGCATCGGCCAGGGCCAGCCGGCGCGGCGATCCGATTTCGATCCGACTCGGAACGGTTCGTTGGCGATGCCCGTGGGCGACACGCGCACTCATGCGACAGCGCATCCGCGGGACTGCGCCCCAGAACCCAGACCGCGAGGGCGCGGATGTGGATGCGTTCGCCGCTCGTGAGCTGCGCTCCGCTTCCGACCCGACCCGCTCTCGCGATGCTATAGTCGGGGCCCTGAAGAAGGAACCCTTTTGGTTGGGGAGGGGCTCCGCGTTCCTTAAAAGTGTTTCGCAGCTTGCCTCCGGTTTTCCTTATGTTTTCGATGGGAAATCGACGTTTAACTTGAGGAAAAAGGGGGCCTCGTTCCTTACTTTGGGTTCCTTGGGTCAACGCTCCGACTGTATCCAGCTCAGGCCTGCGGGCGGGCCCCCGGAGAGCGTGCAGCGGGCAGCTTGCCCGGGCGCCCGCGGCCGCGCGCGCAGGGCCGCCGCGCCTCGCGCTGCGGCCTCGGCCGGGCAGCGGCTCCCCCCCCCCCCTGGGGGGGGCGGCGCGGGAGCAGCCGCGGCCCGCGCCCGGCGCGGCGCGGCAGCGCGACGTGAGCCGACCAAGTTGGTCGCCAGGCGGGGCCCCGCCGCGGCTCCTGACCCACGGGGGGTCCCTGGGGGCACCCTGGAGGCCTCCAGAGGCCCCCAGAGGCGCAGGGCGGGCCAGGCGCGCCGAACGCCTGGCAGACACGTCCTGCGAGCTCCCTCCTCGATCCTCGACGGTCGGCGGCAAAGCTTCGCACCACGGGCGGCCTTGGATGCAGGAGGCCCCTGGAGGGCCCCTGGGGATGGAAGTCCCCGTGTAGAGCCTCAGAGGCCTCGCGGGGCCTGCAGAGATCCAAGAGGGGCCGAGCCCCCCGGCCCCACTTGGCCCTGCTGGTTTATGCGACGTACAGGTGCGCCAATTTCCAAACACACGCCCAGACACCCCCAACGACAGACGCGCTGTATGACGCCATGGCGCAGTGTGTTCGCGAGGGCGTTCGCGGCCGTGGTCCCTCCACCCGCGTCCTTGCCGTCCTTGCCCAGCGATGGATCCCGAGCACCCCCCATCAACTCCCCCGGGTGCCGTGACCCCTCCACGGCTTCCACTGCCCAATGCCCACCGTTAATTATTCCACGACGCCGCGCCCAGCCCTCCCAACAGACGTGCTGCGCACCGACCCACAGACCCGCTTCCAGCAAAAATGGTTAATTCATTGTGGGGCAGAAATCCGAGCATGTATTCACGAACGTCGCCCACAGCCGACCCGCGACAGATACTCCACAACCGACCCGCCGACCCACCCAGATCCACAGCAGCACGACGAATTGCATGACGACGCCCAGCACGACGAACCTCACGACGACGATCTGTGCGACCGACGCCAGCAGCACGACCGAGGAGCGGCACGACGGCAACTGGCAGCACGACGACGACCAGCACGAGGATTTGCAGATCCAGCGGCAAGAAGCCTAGCTTGTCCGCCGTCCAGGTTTCACCACCCCGTCATCGGTTCGCGGGGAGTCTTTGAACAACATTGTTGGGACTTCGGCTCCAGCCATGGCCTCCGACGCCAGACGCACGGCGTACGCTGCGGCGCCGGCGGCAGCGGCAACCGCGATGCGACTGGGAGGGGGTATTCCATGACAACACTGAGCCCCCAATGCGGCGGCCACACCCATGCGGCGGCCACCGCAACTTCCTCCTTCGTACGGCGTCCTTATTTGTTTCCACTGCATCTTCGGCCAGCGCTTCTACGGCTTCTACCACGACGACATCCACGTCTTCCTATTCACCTTCCAGCACTATGGTCGTCAGTCCATTTCCAACTACATATTTTCACCAGTTCCGTATTTTTGTTTTGGGCTGTCTAGTGACCCAGGCCCAGGCCCTGATGGCGACGACGAGCAGCACAACGGTAGCACCACAGCCGCATTGACATACAGGCACACGCAGCACGCCGCACATTAGCAGCACGACGACGGGAGGCACGACGACGAGCAGCACGACGGCAGCACCACAGCGGCACTGACAGACAGGTACACGCAGCACGCCGTACATTAGCAGCACGACGACGGGAGACACGACGACCGCAGCACGACACACGCCAGCAGCGGGATGTACAGCGCACTCGACGCAACAGTTCGAAGCCAGACCCGACGCAACGAATCGGCACCACACCCGACGCAACAAATCGGCACCACACCCGACCAGGAGCTCACCGACTCCCGCGCCGACCAGATCGCCGACTGCCACGCCGACCAGCTCGCCAACTCCCACCCCTCGCTGTGAGCTGTGGCCAGGCCATCCCGAAGGGCGCGAGTCCGCTGGGAGCAGCCGCCACCGGCGCAGGCAGAGGTCTCCCGCGTCGACCAGTTCGCCGACTCCCGCAACGACTACCTCGCCGCCTCCCGCGCCGACCTGTACATCGACTCCAGCACCGACCAGTTCACCGACTCCCGCAACGATCAGCTCGCCGACTCCCGCGCCGACTTGCTCGCCGACTCCCGCGCCGACCAGGTCACGGACTCCCGCACCGACCAGCTCACCGATTCCCACGCCGACCAGCCTGGCGGCTCCCACACTGGCCAGCTCGCCGACTCCTGCGCCGACCAGCCCACCGACACCCGCAGTCCAGCTCACCGACCCCCTCACCGACCAGCACACCGACTCCCACACCGACCAGCCCAGCTCGCCGACTCCAACGCCGAATGACTCGCCGATTCCTGCCTCCAGATCCTGGGCGCGACCGTGACCACATTCCTCATGATCGGCGCCATGCCGCTTCTGGATCAGTTCGCCATCTTCCTCTTGTCCGTTATCCTCACCATGCACATTGGAAATATAATTCATCTTTTGTATTTGGCATGGCACGGCACACGGAAGCCGTATAGACTGCTTCCTGGGCGTGTGTGGCGGCATCCGGTTGAGTCGATTCGGTGCCCCATCGGCGTGTGTGGCGGCATCCGGGCTCCTCCGACTCCCACGTCGACCATCTCACCGACTCCCGCACCGAACAGTTCGCCGACTCCCGTGCCGACCAGCTCGCCGACCCCCGCACGACCAGATCACCGACTCCCGCGCCGACCAGCTCACCGACTCCCGCATCGACCAGTCTGGCGGCTCCCGCACTGGCGAGCTCACCGACTCCCGCACTGGCCAGCTCGCCGACTCCCGCGCCGACCAGCCCACCGACTCCCGCACCGTCCAGCTCACCGACTCCCACCACTCCGATCGGCTCACCGACTCCCGCACCGACCAGCTCGCCGACTCCCACGTCGAGTGGCTCGCCGACTCCTGCCTCCAGATCCTGGGCGCGACCAGGACCACCTTCCTCATGATCGACGCCATGCCGCTTCTGGGTCACTTCATCTTCCTCTTGTCCGTTTTCCTCTCCACGCATCTCGGAAATATCACGTATCTTTTGCACTCGGCATGGCGCAGCACGCGGAAGCAATGTAGATTGGCTTGCGGGCGTGTGTGGCGGTATCCAAGTCGGCCGACTCGATGCCCAATCGGCGTGTGTGGCGGCATCCGGGTTCCACTGACCCCCGCGCTGACCAGCCGCTCCTGGGATACGACGACCACTAGGAGTTCGAAGTGTGGCGGCGGTACCAGCGGCATGGCGATGCGGAGCGCCGCTCCTAGGATACCACGACCTCCTCCACTCCCGCAACCACTTCCTCCAGAATGTCACGACGACGCTCTGCGCGACGGGCACCCGCAGCACGACGATGCTGAGCAACGCGGCCGTTGAGCCGCACGATGGCCACCGGCAACGCGATGTTGACCAGATCCGCAGCACGCAGCTGAGCAGCACAGCGTAAAGCGAGAAGGTCACCTACAGCACTGACACCACAAACGCCAGCGCCAGAGCCGCACAAACACCGGCATCAACAGTGCCGACGCCAGCACCGACGCCAGCACCAACCTCGGCGCCTACACCAGCATCTGAGGTTACGCCGAGGCGCCATGTACAGTGCGAGGCGCTGTGCCCCCTGAGGTCCTCCTTCAATTCCCGAGGCGCTGTCCCCGTTGAGTTCCCGACTCTGGGGCATTGCAAGCTATCTGGCGTGATGGCCCATCCGCTATCCGCCGTCCCGCCCCTCCGACTTCGCACCACCACCTCCACCAACCAACCTCCAGACGCCACCAACTCCAGCGCCTACACCATTGCAGAAGCAAACACTGGCGCCAGCCCCACCCGGGCACATTCGACAGTTACAACACCAGCACCATCGCCAGCATCAGCGCCTGGGCCGACGACGCCTGCACCAACGCCAGCGCCTTCACCAGCGCCGACGTCAGAACGGACTCTAGCATCAACGCCGGCGCCTACGTCAGCACCGACGCCAGCGCGTACGCCAGCACTGACACCAGCACAGACGCCAGCGCCAACGCCGCACAAGCACCAGCACCAACACTGCCGACGGACGTGAAACGGCGGACAGCTGCGCATGGGCCTCAGCACAGCTGCGCGGCTTCTGCACCGCAGCCGGGGCGACGTCCGCAGGGCCTTGCTGCTGGCGCGGCGAGAGGGCACCGCCGTCCCCGAGGGCTACGCGCAGCGTCTCGAGGAGCACCACTGCTGGCGGCTTCGACAGCACCGACTCTTTCGTCAACGCCTTCGCTCACGCCGGCACCAACGCCAGCGCTTACAGCAGTGTGGACGTCAGCCCCTACGCCAGCGCCAACGCCGTCGCTCACGCCAGCTCCAACACCAACGCCTAGATCAGCACCACCACCATGTCCTTCTTCCGACCCGACTCCGACCCCAGCTCCGACGACGCTGTGGTGACGTTTACCCGGCCAGCGGCGAGGACGTCTACACGATCCACTTGGCACGGCCGACCAACAATTCCCACTGCCACCAACCCCAACACCCGCATAACCATTACCACAACCACGACCACCAACGCCACGTCGCCGACCCTGCGACGGCGTGGCCCTGACTCCAACTGTCGCCGCAGGCTCCTTCGCGCCTGCCGCTTCGGCGGCCGACGCTGGATACGTTATCAACTCCGACCCCACTTCGGAAGATGATGTGGCTCCGATCCCGCCTCCGACTTCAGCGACAATTCTGGCGTCGACTCCGTCTCCGACTCCTGGTCCAGCTCCGACCTTGACTCCAGAATTCAGTGCACGACCCTGGTGCGGGACGTTGCGCAGCTGGGTTCCTGGACATACTGGTTCCTCGGTACCCGTTTCCAGGCGCCCTTCGACCTCCTCCCAACCCCAGGGACGGCTACCAGCACTCGTGCTGCACCTACCTGTCCCGCTCCCTGTTCCAATACTGGTGAGCCCCCCCGTGCCGGTTTTGCCCTCCTCTGCCTCTTCTCTTTTCGGCGTGTTCCGCCTTTCCTGCTTCGTCCTCTGGGCTCCGCTTGTCTTGAATCGTTCTCTGGGCTCCGCCAGCGAGGTTTGGTGGCTTGGGTCGCCTTTGGATGCAGCCGCGTTCTCCTGCGGGGCAGGCGACCTGCGCGTCTCACTGCCACTTCAGCGTTTCACTTGGCCAGCAGTTCCTCTGCCCCCCTGTCCCCCTCCTGCTGCTGCTGTTCGCCTCTCTCGCTCGATTTCTCCCCTTTCCTCCCTGCCGCCTGCTTCCCTCTCCCTGCCGTTTCTGCTGCTGTCCCCGCGCTCGCGCTGTCATTGTTCATTTTCGCATTGAAAGAAGAGACCGGCGCCGGGCTCCACAGGCGAACAGGTGGCCGAAGGAGTTTCGTGATTGGCGGCTTCGCATCCGTGGTAGCATCGCGGTCAACGTTCGAGCACGCGGGGGCTGTGTCTCGCGCTCGAGACGCAGCGACTACAGTGGGTTGCCTCTGCGCCAGTGGTCTGCTCGCCCGCGCAGCGCGAGCGATGCTCGAGACCCGAAGGGGCACCGTGGGTCGAACTGCGGCTGCGCTAGGAGCGTGCGGTCGGAACAGAAAAAGCGAAGGGTCCAAGAGGGGCCGAGGACGCCCCAAATCTTCGATGCTCGGCTCGGTCCTACGGATTCGGAGGAGGAGGAGGAGGAGGCGGAGGAGGAAGAGGGGGAGGAGGAGGGGGAGGAGGAGGTGGAGGGGAGGGGGGCTGGCGGAAACGGGGCCCCGGGGGCGGCACACCGATGCAGTCGAGTCGTGTCGTCCGTGGGGTCCTCCCTTCCCCCTGCTTCCCCCCCCCCTTCCCCTTTGCCTCCTCCTCGTCCCCCTCCTCCTCCTCCTCCTCCTCCTCCTCCTCCTCCTCCTCCTCCTCCTCCTCCTCCTCCTCCTCTCGCTCTTCTTAGCCGGAAGGATTTCTCTGACCGAAAACCTGCACATCAGAGGATATATTACTCGCATTTTCCTGCGTGTATTCGTTGCCGACATTCATTTTCCGACATGCTCAGCGCGCGATCTGCCCTCCGCTCCGGTTACCGGAGCTGGCACGCAGACTTCCGTTCCGTTCCGTTCCCCTTTGCCTCCTCCTCGTCCCCCTCCTCCATCCCTCTCCCTTGTAGTCGAAAGGGCGGGCCGCGAGTTTCGCTTGAGGCGTCCCCACCACTCACGATTATGAAGCTGTGAAGCTGGGAAGCTGCAGCAGTTTCACGGCTGGAGGGCGGTCCGTTTTCAACATGGCATTCTCGCCTTAGCGCCGCGCATATCCGTTTTCAAATGTTGCAAGAGCTTTTCGGATGCAGGGCGGCCCGTGTTAAAGATGTGGCTCTCGTTTTAGCGCCGCGCACATTCGCTTCAAAAACTTGCAAGCACTTCGCGGATGGAGGGCGGTTTGTTTTCAATATGTGGCTTACGCTTCAGTGCCTTGCACATTCGTTTCAAGAGTTTGCAGCCGTTTCAACGATTCTCGTGGATAATGTCGCAGACATGGTGTTTTCGCACGATGTCGGAATGTTAGGCGCAACAGTCAAGTTGATTGGCGGCGTTGAAGTCTCAGGAATGGTGTTCTGGCGTGATTCAGGGCCGTCAAGGCGCAACAGACATGGTGAATCGCGGCGTTAGAGTCCTAGGCATAGTGCTTTGGCACAGTTCCAGATTTTCACAGGGTTGTCTTCCAATTGGGCAACTGCCTCAATGAAAGCGAGCCCTTGTAGGGGCCTGTGAAGAGGGAATTTGGAGGGAGGATTTCTTGAAATACCTTTGGTGAGTCTTGGGTTCGCACTGGTCCCCCTCCTCCTCCTCCTCCTCCTCCTCCTCCTCCTCCTCCTCCTCCTCCTCCTCCTCCCCTCCGCCCCCTCCCCCTCCCCCCCTCCTCCCCCCGTCCATGGCTGGAGAGGCAGGAGGAAACGCTCGGTGGGTGAGGAAGGGAAGCTCGGCAGGCGGGGCTCGGAGAGCGCACGTGGGGGGTGGAGCCCCATTGGTCGGAACTCTTGCCGCTTCAGCGACTGCGCAGAGGTCGGCGACCGCACCATCAAGGTGCTGGACTGCAAGTCGAACGTGCGCGCCCAGCATCTGGTGAAGGGCTCAGAAGATCCCGCTCGGCAAAGCTGGGGGTGGCGCACAGACATCGGGAAACGAAAAATGACACAAAGATTAGCTGTCGGAGGTCCGTGCAGATTTCTCGGCTCGGCGCAATGGCCCCCTCCCTGGCGCGCGGAGCGTGTCAGGGGCGGCGCCGGAGGCGCCGCCAGGGGGCCCCAGCGCCAATCCGAGAAATCCGCGCGGACATCAGACAGTGCATGTGTATGGCCTTGTTTGTTCCCCCGAGGCAGCCCGCGGAGGACGTCCAGGCGGGAGGTGCAGAGGGCGGCCATCAGCACCCCTGCGCCACCTCTGGGGGCGCTCGATGCCGCTGGGTTAGGGGTGTTGGGGCCCACCTGGGCTGTCAGGAAGTGGCGGCGAGGCTGGGGGGGGGGGGGAAGAGAGAGGGAGAATGCCTTCTCAGAAGGCGGCGGGACTTCTCAGAAGCCCTCCCGCCTCATGATGTTTTCGGTGTCTTCGGGGAGGGCTTGGGCAACTTCTCAGAGGAAAACTTCTCAGAAGGCCCGAGGCCTTCCGAGCCTTCTGAGAAGGCCCGCCTCTGCTCATTTCCCCCCCCCCAGGCGCGCCGCCAGAGGAAGCTGGATACATGTAACGTGTCCAGCCTGGGCGAGAGTCGGATACGCAAATTGCGGCATACATCTCCCGACTCCAGCCATGTATGTTTCCGGCTTCCCTGTGCCCGTGGTGGAGCCGTGGGGGCCGTCCTGCTCCCCCCAGCCTTGCCAATCCTCCGGCGATCGCAAACACGGATCAAGGGGGCATGGATTGGCGACGGGTCGCGCTTCCATGGGAATTCTCGGATTTCCGCCGCCGAGCGAGGCGGCACCGGCAGCATTTTGGGGAGGGCACCTCCCCCGATCCATGGATTTGATCTACCGCGCGCCAAATCCATGGATCGCGAATCCATGTTTGCGCGCCCCCGAAATCCCGCTTCCTCGATCAGGGCTCCGCTGGGTCGCTGGCCCAGCCGATCCGTCGGCCGACGCGGGCCTGGGCGGGGGACCGTCCCGAAGGGCCCCCCGCTCCGGTCCCCCCGCCGAGCGTTGGCAGGGTGCTCCGCGCTTTTCGGACGGGTCGGGCCGGCTAATCCCTCCCTCTTATCCTCGTGCTTCTCCACTTCCCCCTTCTTTTGCTGCAGCTTCTTCTTCTTCTTCTTCTCCTTTTTCTTCTGATTGAATCGCTTCGCTCATTTTGCCGGCCCATATTGTATCAGTGTTGCTATGTGTTGGCGTGCTCGTGGTGAGCGAGGGGGGGCAGGAGGAGTAGGAGGGTGTTGGTGGTCAGAGGGGGCATCTCGGAGAGCTCATGGATGCTTCTTGCTGTCTCTTCTGAAAGCACTCGGGAGCTTCTCGGGGGGGAGTAGTTGTGACCCTCTTGGGAGCCCTTGGAGTCTTTATTGCGAGGCCTTGGGAGCCGCTTGGGAGTCTCTTGGAGGAGTTTCCTGGAGGCTTCGTGGAGCCCCTTGGGCGGGAGCTCTTGGGGGCCTTTTGGGATCTCCTGGGAGAGTCCAGCTCAAAATGTCCAGAGCTCTCGGGAGCTCCTTGGGAGCTCGTGGGGGCCTCTTGGGAGGCTTTCCGAGGCGGTCTTGGAGGGCTCTTGGGCCTTTTGGGACCGTCTTGCGGCCTTCTTGGGTTGCTTTGAGGCCCTCTTGGAGGTCTGCTGGGCTGTCTTGGATCGATTTTGGAAGCTGGGCTCGAAATGTCCGTTCGGGTTCCCCTTCTGGGCTCCCTCTCGGGGCAGTCCCATGGGCCATCTTGGGCTGTCTTGGAGGCCTGTTGGGTCGTCTTGGGGCCATCTTGGGCCGTCTTGGGACCTTCTTGAAGCGCTCTTGCGCCGTCTGGGGGCGATGTTGAGAGCCTCTTGGGCTGTCCTGGAGCGTCGGGAAGCCGAACAGGTGAGAACGCCAAAATCCTTCAAACACCCAAGGGAAATCAACAATTTTTGTAACCTAGGGCCCTCTGGAGACGCTTCTTGGAGGCGTCTGTAGGCATCTTCGGTGCGTCTGCGGCCGCGTGGAGGCGACCTTGGGCGTCTTGGACCGATCGGTCGGCGACTCGGAGCCCTCTTGGACCATCTTGGGGGCCTATTGAGGCCTCCTCGGAGCGCTCTGAGGGTGCGGAAAATCGCCCCGGGGAGTTCTGGGAAATCCTTGAGCAGACCTTGCCGGGAGTCTGCCTGGACCTTGCCGGGAGTGTGCCGGAACCTTGCCGGGGTACTTTTCGTCCACAGACCCACAGCACCCCGCGCGCGCGCGATTTAGAAATATTATGGACCAGTTACCGGAGATCTGAGCACGCCGCTGGCCCGTTGGGCTGGCGAATTTTTTTCATGATTATCCTCCTATTCCTCCTCCTCTTCCTCCCCCTCCCCCTTCCTCCTCTTACCTCTCCCCCTTCCACTTTTTCTCGCCCCCTTCTTCCTCTTCCTCTCCTCTTCCTCTCCCTTCCTCTCTTTTCCTCTCCCTTCCTTCCCCTTCCCCTCTCCTCCTACTCCGAGCTCTGGGATGGCTCGGGTTTGCCCGCTGGATCAGGGCCAGCAGCATGCCGCGAGCCAGCCCAGACCGAGGGGGTGCTCCTAAGGTCAAGGAGTGGTTTCCGCGCTCTCAGGTGGGCGCTTCTCTCTGTGGTGTGAGCGTCCTTCCCTCACGCTTGCCATGAGCCAACAGGGGACCGGAGGGGAAGGGTCTCCGAGTTAGCTTTTGTTGTGGTTGCTGAGGAGCCGTCCGGGGCTCCAGGACCGACAAAAACGACTCAGGGTGAACAGCCGATTGAAGGACGCCCTGGGACGTTCAGGAACCGTATCACCCCTTCTGGTCATGACAGTTTTCCTCGCTTGCTCTCTAGACGCCCGCTTCGGATGGTCTAGGGTATGGCTTGCCCCAGCAGTTGTCATGTGCGGTGGCACCTAGCCCTCAGCTAGGTCTCAGCATGTTCCAAGATGGTGCTGAGTAGATGATGCACCTGCAAGCTTCCGACATGATGATGCTCATTTTGCCGATTATTCTACTGCTAGCAAGCAAGGGCGACATCAGAGCCTGTGGCAGCGAGGGGCCACACTCGGATCAGAATTTCCCAAGATAGAATCGACATTCCTGCTGGACCTTCGGTTATGGGAAAAACAGCAGGACACCCGCAGACAGGGGCTGACCCTCTCCGAACCGCAGCGAAGGATGGGGTTCGATTCTTCCATCCGCCCTTCTCGACGCCATAGAGCCACGAACACGACGAGGGGATGACCGTCGGCAGTGGTGTCGAGTATCCGCCGCGCACGAGTCGCGGTAAGGTTGATGGGGGGGGCGCAGGCACGTTGCGGATCGTTCTCCGTGTCCGGCTTGTTGTAGTCACGACGAGAAGATGCAACTATTATGGTCCACGAAAGGAGGAGGAGGGGAGGAGGAGGAGGATCAGGAGAAGCAGGAGGAGGAGGAGGAGGAGGAGGAGGAGGAGGAGGAGGAGGAGGAGGAGGACGAGGAGGAGGAGGAGGAGAGGGGGAGGAGGAGGGGAGGGGGAGGAGGAGGAGTGTACATGAATTCATATCGTTTCACCTTCACACCTGCACACTCATGCACTTGTTCTCTGAACCCCTTCCCTCTCCCCACTCTGCCGCCGCCTCCGCGGCTCAGGTGCAGTTTTGGCGGCGCCACAACTCTATAGGGCTCCTCTCAAGTGTGTCTGGGGTGGCGGCGCTGGTGACTCCGGTGCTGCGGCCGCTGGCTGATCAGGCGCTGACCTGTTCCATCTAGTCTTCTTTCCTCGGCGGGTCGTACCAGACCTGCAGCGTGTGCATCGCGCTCGGGTCTCTCCTCGAGGTGATCGTCACCTTGACTGTGCAGTGCTGTCTCAATGTCCGTCCCGCTCGACAACCAGTATCTGCTCGGCGGCCGCGAGGTGCAGGTAAAGTACACCGACGATCCTCGCCTTTGGCATCGCCGCGTGGTGATGTGCCGCTGCCCTCGGGGCGTCTATCGTCGAGTGGTGGTGAGCGACCCGTTCACCGACACCGATGCGGTCTACTGGATCATGACGCCCGACTACGACGTGTACCCCGAGGAGCTGTCGGTGCCGCCCTTGATGGCCATCGTGGGGGCTACCCCAGACGGGGCCCTCGTGCAGGCTTCGGGGGTTCGGCCGCACCACAATCTTGAATCGGGTGAGCGCGATCTCGCCGCTCCTGACGCCCGCGGCCTTCGCCGAGGCGCTCCGAGCGTGCCAGGGGGAGGTGGCCCAGGGTGGTGGTCCTCGTCGGCGCCGTCGGGGTCGTCAGGAGGATCGCGCAGCCCTTGATGCTGACGGTTCTTGCAGCGCGGCTGCAGGCGCAGGGCTTGCTGGCCCAGCGGCTCTTCCGCTCCCCCCTCCGGCTCGCAGTCCATAGGAGCAGGCGGTCTTCGACTTGATGAAGGGCGCGGCGCTGGCGCCTGGCCATGGGCATCTTCCAGCGGCTGCTGGCGGCTGGCGGCGCGTCTCCAGCGGCGGCATCGCCGACGCTGACTTCGACACCGACGTGAAGGACAACTACCTGTACACCCCAGGGCTGGCGCTCGTGAGTCGGGCGGGGGAGCTGGCCGTGCTCGTCGACTACACCGACGTTGCCGCAGCCGCTTCGCCAGAGCTGGACGCCAGGATCCTCGAGATCTCGCGCGACAAGCTAGGCCAGAGGCACAAGGACGTGAAGGAGGCTGTCGACAGCTGCACGGAAAGTGACTGGGACAGCTGGCCGTTGACTGGCCCTCGGACGGTGCTGTGGTGCCTGACCTTCATCGTTCAGACGAGCGGGCGCCCGAGGGCCAGGCACGCATGATGGAAGCACACCTGCGAGCTCACCTGCGGGGGTCCAGGCGTCTCGGACCACGAGACGGCCATGGAGGGCCTCGAGTACTTGCTCACGTGCGACCAGCTGAACGCGCCCGAGGTGGTCTTCACCGAGCTTTTCATGCGTAGGGCGCTGCTCGCCGAGCTCAGGTGCCGGCACTTGCTGCTGCGCCCCGACGACTTCGGCGACGACTTGGCGAACGACGTGTTCCTCTACCTGGGCCTGGGCGAGACCAGGGTTCAGATCATGCTGTGCCCAGCGTTGGAGGAGTACGTGGCGGCGGAGCTCCACAGGGAGTGCACAGTGGCCAAGGAGCGGCGCAAGCTTCGGGAAGAACGGCAACTGGCTTGCGCCTCGTCTGGAGTGGTGCCCAGCCAGGCGGCCGCCGCCTCGGTGACTGCGGCGAACGACCCGCTGCGCGGCCTGGTGACAGGGCCTCCAGTCAACCCGAAGGCCAAGGCGAAGTCGAAGCCGAAGGGGGGCAAGGCAGCGGCGGGCCCAGCCGCCGCGCCCGAAGCGCGACCGCTTCTTGGGCTGGCCTGCTCGCCCGGCCCGCGCTATCAGGGCAGCTGCTGGACGCGAGAGAGCTCCTCCCGATGCCGGTGCTGTTCTGCGAGCTATCGCAGTCTAGTTCAGGCTTTTCATGTTCTTCGTCAAGATCGGTAAGGCGGCGGCTGGAGGTGAAGTCTCACTGGCAGACCGCCGTCGACTCAGCTGTGGAGAGCACCAATGATTTGTATGGTCTCAAGCTGGGCCAATCTTCTTCGGGGCTATCTCGCGCTCAGCGGGAGACGCATTAACATCTTTCGGACACCTTTCGAGGTGTGCCTCCTCCACCTTGCGTGGCCGTGGAAGCCTTCAAAGGACCTTGCGGCGCTCGAGCGGGTTATGGTGACGCTGATCCCGGCGTTGTTTTCCAGCATGACTTGATCTCGTTGCCTTCTCGAGGTGGCGTGGCTGATGGCGCCGAGGTGCTGACCGACGGCTCCCTTTACCATTGGAAAAATTGCGCCCAGGCGCTCATGCGGAGCGACCAGGGCACGTATGAAACTTCAAGACTTCCTGCTTCGCCTTACTCCGATCCCACTTTGATCAGGGACAAGATGATGCATTCAACGCTGATTGCCGACATGCGCGCCCTGGGGCTGTGCTCACTGCGGCCGCGCCAAGCTTCAGTTTTTTCGTCGGGAAGAAGAACGGCGTGCGGCGCATGATCCTCGATGCAAGGCTGGTGGAACCGACGATCCAAGAGGCGGAGCGCGCAGTTCTCCCCGCGCCAGGAGCTTGGGCTAGCGTCGGGCTCAGGCCTGTAGACGAGCTGGTGTTCTCGCAGATGGACGTGGATTGTGCGTTCTATCGTATTCGATCGCCTCTGAACATTTTTGTATGCCTCGCGTTTCTGGCTGGCCGATCAGTCAACTGGCGCCCGGGTGCGATGCCTTGGGGGCCGACTGGGTCAGCACGCGCTTGGAGGTCATGGCCATTGGGTGGTCGTGGGCACTGCGTTTCTCCCAGCAGATGGTGATGGCGTCAGTCCAGAAGGTGGTCATTCCCACCAGTCAGTTCTTCAGGGGCAAGAGGCCCGCTCCTGACCTGAGCGAGTCGATGGTGGCAGCCGCAGTGTATGTGAATAGTGCTGCTGTCGCTTGCGCGAACGAGAAGCTGGTCAGCGTCGCGGCCGACGCCGTCACCTTCGTCAGGTTTGCGTCCTTCGCAGCAAATGCAGAGTTTATCAGTCGCTGGGCCCCGATCGAGTTCAACCCCGCCGACGGGCCGTCCAGGCTCGAGGGGCTTGCGGTGCGGAGCGGCGGCGCGGGGGCCGACGCGTTGCGCGTCGCCCATGTCGCTGCCGTCGAGGCCCTCGCTTGCGAGGAGCTTGGCCGCGGCCGCGCAGGTCGAGCGGCCGCAGACGTTTGGCGAGCGCCCGCGTGGGCCCCTCGGCCGGCCGATTGCGCTCGCGGGCGCCGACGGCGTCGTCGAGCGCTGGCATTCTGCAGCGAGCGCCTTCGACGCCGGCGGCTCCTCTGACGGCGAGGGGGCCTGCCGTGCCGGTCAGGCGGCCGCTGGTGGCAGCGGGCCCAGCGCCGCCCTCGGCGCAGCAGCGCCGCGCCCGCGCTCGACGGCGCGCCGAGGCGCGCCAGGCGCAGGCCGCCGCGTGCGGTGACTTGGGCGCCTACTTCCTGGAGGTCAACAGGGTGATTCGCAATTCGGCGTCGGCGACGCCGCGCGATTGGTGCTTCTCCGACTTCCGCAAGTGGGCGTCTCAGGCAGAGATGCCGCTGTCGACGCCGGCCGAGATCGACTTCGCGCTGGTGGAGCACCTCGAAGACCTGTGCTCCAGCGGCCTCAACCACAACGCGGGAGAGAAACTTATGACGAGCGTGGAGTTCCGCATCCCCGGGCTGGAGATCCCATGAGGCGCCGTGCTATCGAGAGCGAAGAACGCTCTGCGGGGCTTCCGCCGACTGGCGCCAGGCCTGAGCCGCGCCCCATTCCCTTGGCTAGTGCTCTGTGCGATGGCGGGCTCGGCGATGCCAGTGGCGTGGCAGGGCGTGGCCTTCTGCCTCGTGCTGATGTTCAGGACCCACCTCCGCCCTACCGAGTGCCTGACGATGGCAGTTGGGCAGCTGGGCCCGTCGGCGGGGGCCGTGTCTTGGGCGCCGCTGCTGGCGCCGCCCGAGCTCTCGGCGGCATCGAAGACCCGCGAGTTCGACGATGGCCCGCTGCTCGACAACGTGGAGTTCGGCCCCCTTCAGGACTTCTTCCGCCAGGCCAAGGCGGCGCCTGCCTACTCGGC